ATAGTCATGTTTCTGAAGTTTTTTTGAGAGGTAAACACCTTTTTAGGGTAGTTGTACTGGAACGTCACTTTCCATGTGAAATAGAAAAAACTGGGCAAAAATTAGCAGTAGTCCATTCTTTTATGATTAAAAACATTTTACTAAAAGGAATGGAGACTAGAAATGTTCATCACTCAGTAGTATCCAGAGTTTATGGGCAAATTCAAGTGTGGGGAAGTCCATTTTTAGCTGGAGGAATGTGTCTGCTTTTTTCATCTTTAGTTAGTGATTTCATCATTTGATAATGTCATAGTGCTGTGTTATTACATCCTCTGTAGAAAATAATGACCTAGCTGCAGCATGACTTTCCAGCTACTAGAATTTTGACCATAGAAGAATCAAAATCAATATACTTGAGAAATAATAGGCCTAAAGAATCCAGAAAATGTTAGCTTTCATTTAAGCTATTGCTGATGAATTTTCCAAATTGTTTTATAAACTTTTGAATAGAACAGGAAACAGAAGGGATGGCAGTCAATGTGGAGAATAAGAGGAAAAGTAGAAAAAATTGACAGGGCAAAGAATTTTTGAAGTGTGTGTGTGTTGTGTTTAATAGTACAGCAAATGGTTCTTTTGTTATTGTTTTGAGCAAAGCTGATTTTTAACATTTTCTTTCATAACACTCAGAAATCATTAACAATTGTTTGCATATTCATTTGATATGAGTTTTTGTTCTTTTTTTGGTTTTGTTTCTTTTCGTTGCTTTCTTTTAACATTGGTCATGTTTCACCCTTTTTTTTTTTCACTCCCCTGTCTGCAATCAACTTCTTCATTCCACTAAGGCTGGGCACAGAGTAAGTTTCTTCTCTTAGCTCCTACTAACAGTGGTGATTGGGTGGCTGATTACTGGGATTTCACCCTTTTATGGTCTATCAAGTAGGAAGTAACCAAATTCCTATGCTTTGATTAGGTTGGGTTTTTATTTGAATTTAACAAGACTGCCATTTCCAGGATCTTTTGCTGTCTTAAAAGACTCTGTGTCTAACCTGAACTGTCAAAGTGTGTAATTTGGGCAAAGACACTGCTCAAAGTATGACATTTGTTATGTGACACTATTTCCCCTATAATTTAATCACCTGCAGGAAACCAGAGTCCTAGTAAGGATACTAATTTGAAATAATTTCTGTGTGGTCATTCATAGTTATATCTTTAGACTGCTAGTAGTCTGGGCACACTTGTGCATAATCCACAGTACATTATAGACTTTAGGTCATCAGTCATTATAAAGTACCATGCCTTACTAATGTTCTTTCCACCACATTGGATTGAACAGCTCATTCATTATTAGTCCCAAATATTTTCAACTTGTTATAGACATATACCCTTTTATGAGTTTGAGGTGTTTTTTTTTTTAATATAGAAATCTATTTTTACCTTTTTCTCAAATGCCAGCTTCCCACATTAACTATGTACTTCAATCTATATCTGAAGGGATTCCCCTCTAAAGATGAAGATTGTTCTATCTCCAGGTACTTTTGTATTGTTTACCAATGAGGGTGGAAACTATGTGGTGTTTAATTTTACACATGTTTTGTCCACTAAGATTTAGAATGAAATAATTAATATAAGTCATTGAGCAAACACTTGTTGAAACTACTCTTTAAAGCTTATTTAATAATTTCTTTTAAAATGCACTAATTTAATTTGTAACCTTGTGTTACTTTAGTTACTTTATATCCTGGTAACATTTTCTTTCCTTTGTAATCATTTTGGTATTTGTGGCAAGATGAGTGAAGCTTATTTTAGAATAATTTGAATTATTTTACACATTTTGATTTTGATTCATTTCAGTTTATAAAATCTGTGGTGGCCAAACTGTTATCTGTTTTATCCTGTTTTAGATACTTAATGTTTTATTTGGAATAGTAACACCTTATTTAGACCTAGTTAAAGGGCATGTGCATTTATGGATGGGTTGTCTGTGTGGAAAACATCCTGTCGTAGAATGAAGGTGTTTGTATTAATCAACATGGAGAAATTGATTCTGTTTGTCCTTTGGAGGGCAGGTGCTATTTTTAAATGACCTTTTGAACAGTATTCTGTTAATTGATGTATATATATCAAATCTGGAAATTTTAAAATTAAAAATCTTCAGGATTGAGATTTTTTTATTTTATACTTAAATGCAAATTTTTTTGTGTCAAAAAACAAAACAAAATTTGTTTTTGTCATTTGAGACTATGTTCCAGCTCTAAACTACCTCCTACTGAATTCATCACTTAT